GAATAACCTATTTAAAATCATTAAACTAAAACCTATGGTTAACATTCTCATGGTTATATTTATATGGTCCACATTATTAGGAAATAAATCAAAAAATTGAAGTTACATATTTTTGCTATTCGCTACATATTCACATCTTTATTTAATTGTAATTTAATGTTTGATTAATTAAGATATAATTGATGCAGTTATAAGTTTTGTGATTCCGCTTATTGGACGGATATACGTGGGGTTAGATTCAGAAATTAAATTTAGTTGATGTTATATTAAAAATATATTGTATTGTGGAGGGCAATTGTTTTTGATTAAAAATGTATTATATTGTGAAGCCATTATAAAACCAAAAACATTAACGCTAATGCTATTATGCTAATGTTATATAATATATCTGATAGGTTACTTATAGCAGAGCCAGGTTAAATTATGCTTATCGATTCTACTAGCACTACCAACCAACTTATGTAATGTCCTGCTTTCTTCTACCATTGGAGATATGTGATGTCTTATCTAGTGCCATTGCACAGTTCTGGTGGAGCTCAAACCCCCCTAAAAGAAGCATACACTGGTCTACATGGGACAAATTGTGCTTATCTAAAGAGGAAGGTGGGGTTGGTTTCAGGATGATCCATGAATTTAACCTGGCTCTGCTAGCAAAGCAGTTATGGAGGCTGGTTCAATACCCAGATTCTCTGGTTGCTCGTGTTTTGAGAGGTCGGTACTATCGACTAAGATCGCCGTTGCGTCAGCTTACTGTTAGTAGCCCATCATATGTGTGGACAAGTTTATCAGCGGCACGAGAATTACTTTTATTGAGAATTAGACAAAAGATTCATTTAGGCTATGAGGTGAAAGTATGGGAGGATCCTTGGATTCCTACTATACCAGCGAGACCGGCATCCCCATCCCCAAATATGAGAGTAAGCGACCTCATTAATCAAGAGACTAAGACTTGGGATGCGATGAGACTGGAAAACTACGTAGATGCTGCTGATATACCTCTTATAAAGAGTATGTCAATTAGTTCTACACACCGTAGGGATACTTATTGTTGGAGCTATACAAGGAGTGGACAATATACAATCATATCTGGATACAGGGTTGCACGGAATGTATTAAAACAGGAGGAGGTGTCTGCAGTTAGTGAACCTAGTATCACTAAACTACATGCACAAGTTTGGAAGGTGCGGGCTCCCCAGAAGATGTGCCATCTTATGTGGCAACTAATAACAGGTCATGTGGCTGTTACGAGTACTTTAAACTATAGACACAAAAGATGTGACAATCACTGTCCACGATGTGGAGAACCTGTAGAATCAATTGCACATGCCATTTTCATGTGTCCACCTGCAAAGCAAGTATGGGCCTTATCGTCGATGCCTACTAGTCCTACTTTATTCCCACTTTAGAGTACATATGAGAATATGGATTACCTCTTTTGGAGGAAGAATGCCATAGCAGCAGCGGGCTTGGACATGGATCCTTACCCTTGGCTTATATGGTATATTTGGAAGGCCCGGAATGACAAATTGTTCAAAGGGATTGATAGAGACCCACTAGAGATAGCCCGGTATGCAGAGAGTGAATGTCAAGCCTGGTTCAAAGCCAATGAACAGATTTCTCTGCCTTCGCAAGGAAACCTGGAGGTTGATACCCAAGTCATAAGTTTGGGGAATATATGCATGGTAGATGGCTCTTGGACCTCTACAGCTCCGTTCAGTGGATGTGGATGGGTTTGGAATGATAATACGGGGAATAGTCAGTTGATGGGAATGCGTAATTTTGATAGAATGGAGTCGGCTTTGCACTCTGAGCTGGAAGCACTGCGGTGGGCAATGGAGAACATGCTTCAACATTCGCCATGTCAGAGCTTTGGGACAGACTGCAAGGAAATGATAACAATGCTCAGGAATCCACATGAATGGCCAAGCTTCTCAACTGAATTAGAAAAACTCACGACGTTGCGGATTTGTTTTCCAGATTTTAAGATTTTCTATATTCTTAGGGCACCAAACGGAGTTTCCGATTTACTAGCTAAGACTGCTCGATCTTTCTATCGAGATTTGGTGTATGTTGGTTGTTCTATTCTGGTCTTGATTCCCAAACCACCTCAAGCTTGAGTAATAGATCAGCCGTTCGTTGTCAAAAAAAAAAAAACAAAACAAAAGGCTACGTGGAATGGGTGGTTACATTCCGAAATTATGTTGTGTCCAACTATTATGTTGATAGCCATGGGGTGGTTACGTTCTAAAATTAATTTATTGTTGCAGATATCATATGTATTCTGGTTGCAGTTATAATATATAAAGGCCTCTGCTTTGTTGAAATAATAGTTGGATCCAACAAATATCAATAGGACATATTCCTAATTTAACAGTGTTGACTAGATTTTGATCCACCCTTTTAAGGGCGAGAATATATTTTTTGTTTCAATTTTTATTTTAGAAATTTAATTTACATATTTATGTTTTTTGTAAGAATATTTGTGTTTTCTAAAAAAAAATCACATTTATGTATAAATCTTAATCAAAATCTATTTTATAAAATAATAGCAATTTAAATGTTGATTTGACATACGCTAGTATCTTTGTAAACATATGCTCGTATGCCTGTTTCTTTGTAATCATATTGGTATATTTTAAATTTTGATTTGTGTTTTCAAAGTGCAAATTATTTTCGAAATAAATCAAATTTATTTGATATAATTTTGTATTTTTGATTATTATTTACATTTAAATATTAAAAAGAAAGCATTATAACTGTGAAGATTGTATAATATGCTTAACATTTTAATAGAAATAGTTTTAAAGATGAAATATGTAATAAGGTTTTAACAAAATCAGGATATTTTTGTATTTTTAGCATTTTGAATTATTAATGTAATTAATAATATTCGTACTTGAAAACCAATGTGGCATCTACCCGTAAGTCTAGGTCTCGGATCCGATTAAATACTACCTATATACTCAAATTTTGATTTATTGTATTGATCTAAATTTTGCTAAATTTAATTTATAATAATAATTTTAATATTTTCGTGATATTTTCATATTTGATATAAATCCATGATAACATGGTAAACAGAGTGNATATTCGTACTTGAAAACCAATGTGGCATCTACCCGTAAGTCTAGGTCTCGGATCCGATTAAATACTACCTATATACTCAAATTTTGATTTATTGTATTGATCTAAATTTTGCTAAATTTAATTTATAATAATAATTTTAATATTTTCGTGATATTTTCATATTTGATATAAATCCATGATAACATGGTAAACAGAGTGGTCTGCATATAATTTATCTTAGATTTTAGATTAAATTATAAATTTTTATTTAAAAATTCCATAAAACCCGGTTAAAAACCCAAAACATTTCATTGATCCGTGATCTGGTAATGGTTGACCCAAAAAATGAAAAAAATCTAACGATAACCTTTATAAAATTGGTAATTTGATTAACAATGTCAATTAGGTATGGGCCATGACCCGTATTTTTATTAGCTAGCAGATGAAAAAAAATATTTGAAAAAAATAATAAATTTGTATTTCTGGTCATCAAAAATTAAATTGTGGTTAAATAATTTAGTAACATCAAAGTAGTAGAAAGGAGTGGGTCTCGCCGGTTACGTAACTGTCGTACCTTTTAATTTATTTTAGATTCAATTATGTAATTGTCCTTATCTAACACTATTAAAAGGGAGATAATAAACCCTGTGAGATATGCCACATCAGCGAAAAAAATCAGACGAATCAAGAAGTCCCAAATAGACCCGTAAAACCATTGTTTAATTTTTAGTCGACATGAAACTCTTGCGGCCTATTATTCGGTTGATACCTCTGATAAATGGCCCATAAGAGCCCAACTCTCATTCAAGCCATGTTATCTTGATAAATACATTAGTGGAACTAATTAGATTTTACCTAAAGTAATCAATCATTCCATCACCGTTGACGTTCCCACTTCTTTCTCTATCTTCTTTGTTGGTTGCAATTATGAATCATCAACTGATCTTTCTTCAAAACATAGAACCGATAAGATCACATACGGGAGGTCATGGCCCATACCTAATTGACATTGTTAATCATCAACTGATCTTTCTTCAATCAGCTGATGATTCGCAGGAGATCGAGTCAAAGGAGGAGTAGGATGCTCTGGTACCGGAAGTTGCAGAGATGTCCGTAAAAGCCATTAGATCCGTATTTTAGCCATCAGAGAAGAAAGGTTTGGTTTTCTTCTTACCATCGTTCTCGAATATGATGTTAAGTAGTTAGGATTATCAATGTATTCCTTCAAGTGTGTTTACAGCTTCTCTAATTCGATTTTTTTTCCTTCTAGATTTTTTATTTTATTTAGATTTTTTCAATCCTCCGGTTTGTATAGAAGCGCTGGAGACGAAGAAACTGGTGACAAGAAACCCGAGAGATCCAACTTTCGTCTCTCTGTGAAGAACGAAGACAAGTCAAATCACCCGAGTCAAACAAGTCAACACCAAGTTATACAGAAACGCACATCTTTGCTTATCCAGCGGAATCTCCACCTTCGTGGTGTCAACTCTAACCGGCTTGAGAATCTCTCTTTTCTCTGGCCAACTATTGCGAAGGAAAATCTCTCTTTTCTTTCTAGATTATAGAATAAACTTCAAACAATGTTGTTTATAGGACAAATCTGCTATGTTCTTATCTGATATCAACACCATGTTTCTTTTCTCATATGTAGTTATTTGGTGTTCGTGCTATAGGTAACTGGTGCAGTGATTCTACGAAGATATGAGAGAATGAGAATCAAGTTTTTTCTTAAGATCAACCTTAGGAATCAGATGATTCAAAAAATTCAATGCACAATTTCTTTCTCTAACAAGGTTTTCTCTTTCTTTTCTAACATTTTTCTTATTTAATCACAAACTGAGATGTAAATTCCTATCAATTTGTTAGTATAGTAATTTAAGAACTATATGAGTTTAAACAAGTATCTCATGTCAATTTCGTTTTTGGACAAACAGGTATCCTATGTCGTTAGTTTTCACTTTTGCTGTTGTTATATTGAGACATACGTTTCAGAGGAAAGAACATGTTACACCATGAAACATGTTGTCGAACTCATGCCATTCGAGGTTCTAATAATTCAATTCAACCAACATGTTTCTTATACACAGTATATGTAAATATGCAATTTACAGATCAACTTATACGTAATATGTATCATTGCAGGGAGTTAACAGAGCTTTTCCATATGTTTCCACTAACGAAGCCCAGACGCCTGTGATTTTTAAATTGGTAACTTCCGAAAGCCTCATCATATAGTTTTGTTTCAGAAGTTGCAACCAGGAAGTTAATAAAGAATTTGAAATCTTGAATCTATGCAGGTACACTCGAAGAATTTCAATGTGGGAGTTCACTCACTGATACTTCTTGACAAAATCTCATCCAAGAATAAGATTGTCAGTGATAAATTTTACCGTGCATTGTACTCTAAACTTCTTCTCTCCTCGGCAATGAATTCTTCCAAGGAAAGCTCAATTTTGTTATCTTCTGTTTTCCTACTTTCCATCACGTGATTGTTTTCTTAGTTCATGAATGCATCATTATCCTTACAATTTTGTAAACATTCCCTGCCATGAACCATATCATTTTCTCCATAACCCTGCTTAATAATTTTGCATTCTTGATTTCAGGCTGAAATGTTTATTGGGCTTCTCCCCAGAGATTTGACCAAAAAAAAAAATATAAATATAAAGCGTGTGGCTGCCTTCTCCAAAAGAATCTTGCAGGTTGGTAACATGAACATATGAATCATAATCTCATCATTAGACAGGGCAGAAATCGAAAATGTAAAATCAATAATTCTAAATACATAAAAAGTTTTAAATTAAATATTGATTTACCAATTGTATTATATGAAACAAAAGATTTTAGCTGAAACTTATGAATATTGACTATTTATCACTTTTCATTAATTTTAATAATAAAAAAACAACAAAGAGTGAGGGGTTGATTGGTTGTTTTGTAGTTTTTGTTTTTACTTTAGAAAATAAGCTGTGAATTTTTTTTGCTTCGGCTTTATTTGTTCTGCTATATATTTATTTTCAAAGCACTAAATAATATCTATAGAAAAGTTGATTTTGAAAGCTAAAATATATATATTTTAAAAACTTTACTAGGTGTTTTCGTGCACATTGTGCATAGAGAAATTTTTTAAGTTTAAATTATATTTTATAATAAATTTATTATTTTCATACCAATATTTAAATATATATTTTCTTTATTTAAAAATTAAATTAAGATAAAATAATTTTGTTTGTTTAAATTATATTTAAGAATATATATATTTAAAATTATAATATTAGATAGATTTTATATTCATTTTTATTGCTTAAATATATTGAGTTAATGTGTAAAAAATAATCAAAGCAATATAAAATTGTATAATTACAAAATTTAAACTAATTAATATTAAAATTTTTTGTAGATATATAAGAAACTAATGATTTTACGATTAGAAATTTATTCTTTTAAAATGTTTTAGCAATTTTTGAAAACTTTAGTAATACAAATTGTATAATATATAAAATATAGAATAATATTTCAAAATTTGTAATGTTATATTTCAATATATTTATTATAAAGATGATGTATGAGTTATCCCATATTTTCAATTTTTTTACCATAAATAAATATCAACATTAAATATAATTATGTGTTATTACCATATTTAAAAAGTTTACCAAAAATATAAATCAATATTAAATGTAGTTATCCATGTCATCCCCTATATATTAAAAGAGAATCATTTAAAAAGTTGTAACCTTAAGTTTGTAATAATTAAAAATAACCCCAATCCTATGTGGCATAGCTCTTTGTTTTCTATTTCAATTTAGAAGAATTCTAGAGCTTGTAATATAACGTATAGTCTAAAAGTTATACTCTCTAGCAATATAATATTTTGTAGGATATATAGTTGGTCGCATATATAAAATATTTATTGTTTTGTATGTTTTCCTTAAATAAAACCTACGGAATTGCCTAATGTGATTAAAATATATACGTGACAATTAATTATTTTAAACAATAAAGATTTTATAACAATATATATACTTTTTATCATTTTTTATTTTTTTATTATTAAAATAAATTACACAATTAAATTAATCATATAAAAAAAATTAGATTTTTTTTTGTTTATAATGTATTTCAAATTTTTTTAAATGAGTATAAATTACTAAAACTGTTAAAAGTCTCACATAAACTTTTAGAATTAAGGTTTTGATATTTTTTCTATATTAAAATATAATGATTATAAGCCCATATGAAGAAATAATTTAGTTTATATATATATATATTTCATATCGTTTAAATTAAACTATACATCGTATGAAAATACATACTTATATTTTGATATTTGCATTGAACATATATTGAAAATTTAATATTTTAATACTGAAATATGTCATTGTTTTTTTAAAATGATTATAAATTATTGAAACTACTAAACATCTCACATTAAAAAAAAATTCTTTGGTGTAAATTTTTTTACCCAAATCTGCAAATAATCATAAATCATATGAGTAGAAACCTCATTTAATAAATATCCATATTAAAAGTATGCTATATTACTATGTTTATATCATTTAAATTTAATTATATATCATATACAATATATAAGATTTATTTTTTTGATTTATTTATCCTAATTACGAAAAAACAAGAGTGATAGTTAAATTTATATGCATAAGTCAATTTATTACATAATAGTAACTGATTTCTTAGTTATTTAATATATATATATATATATATATAATTTTATTATTTTTAATATGCTGAAAAATATAAAACAAATAATAAATATAAAATACTTATTCTGCATAAAATGCAGATCTTAACTTAAGTATGTATCTCTTTAATTATTTTAAATCTTAAGTATCTTCTAAATCTCAGGTCAAAACAAACAAACGAAATGAGAATAAACTTCAAAATAAATATTTATATCGAATAATAACCAAAATAAAAAAAACACAACAAGATAAAAAAATTGAAGATAAATAGGATTGACATGTGAATGTAAACTTCTCATAACCATAATTAATTTTTAAATTGTTAAATCATGATAAAAAACTGAGTTAATTTTTAATTTGTTAATTTTTAAAATTGTATTTTTTAAATCACTATGGTTATGTTAAATCATATCCATATTTAATTTTAAATTGTTTATTTGTATTTGAAAAACTTAAAATATTGTTTTTACAAATAATTTAAAATTAACTTAATTTTTTCTAAAATTAATTTTATTTTAAAAAAATTATATAATTTGTAAAAAATTAAATTTTCTTATAATATTAGACAAATAAATAAATTATATTAAATTACTTTTTAAACTTTATATATTTTAAATGCAAATATTTTACCAACTGTTCTTAAGAAAGCATTAGAGAACTTGCTAATATTCTATCAATCAAGCGCAGTGACACTCCGTTTATTTTCCATCATTTGAGTACTGAAAACTGAAAAGATATATGAAATCTAGTCCATCAAATTCTAAGCTTTGATCTACAGTTCTAATTACAATCGTTTCTGATCCTACGTATAGATAATTATATAAAAATTCTAAAATTCTAAAATTTCAAATGCATATAAAAATAATGATATGTAAATTTTAAATTTGTCAATACTAAAATTATATATTTTAATTACATACATTCATTCTGCACAAGGCGCAGGTCTTATCCTAGTATTTTGTTATAAGTCGTATCATCAATTTTAATAGGGAGAATTTCAATTATACCACTTTCGTGGTACCACTTTTCATGTTTATCATCAACAAATGAACATTTTCAAAAATACACATTTTATTAAAGGATAAAAGACTCTTATATCCTTGTTCTTTATATATATACATAAAATAAATATTAAATAAAATATTAACCCTAAACCCTAAAACATCAATTCTAAACTCCAGGCCCTAAAAAGTAAACCCTAAACCCTAAAAATAAACCCTAAACCCTAAAATATCAATTCTAAACCTTAAACCCTAAACTCTAAACCCTAAAAAGTATACCATAAACCCTAAAAAATCAACACTAAACCCTAAACTATCAATCCTAAACCCAAAACCCTAAACCCTAAATTCTAATAGTATTTTGACTATTAAAATTTTAATGGTAAAGTTGGTTAGTGTAAAGTTGAAAAGTGGTATCTTGAAAGTGTTATTTCTTGCAATTTCCCATTTTAATAGTCATGTCACATTTTTCTGTGAAAATGATTTTAAAGATGACATGTAGATATATAAGAAACTAATGATTTAAACTAAACATTATTTACAAAATTTGGAGATAGATAAGAAACTAATGATTTTACGATTAGAAATTGATATTTTTAAAAAAATTGTAGCATTTTTTTAAAAACTTTAGTAATACAAATAGTATAATATAAAAATAAAATAGAATAATATTTTGAAGTTTGTAATGTTATATTTGAATATATTTCTTTTAAAGATGATGTATGAGTTGTTACCATATTTTAATTTTTTACCGTAAATAAATATCACCATTAAATGTAAAGTATGCGGTATTACCATATTTAGAAATTTTACCAAAAATATAAATCAACATTAAATGTAATTATACATGTCATATTTTTCCATAAGCTATGTCATCAATTTTAGTAGCCATGTCACATTTGTTTTTGTAAAACTGATTGTAGAGATGACATGTGGTAAAATCACTTCGCAAATAATATATAGGAGATACTATATCTTTAATTTTAAAAAAATAAAACATGATTTTTTTTTTAAAAGAATTCTTTAGAAAAAATTGGATGTCTAAAACATATACCACCCTTACCAATCAACCCATGAGGTTATTCATTTCAAATTCGTTGACAACCTAATAAATTAATTTGGGTATTATTATTTATATTTTTGGTAATCAATTTTGAAATAATATATTTACATACTTTTATAAAAGATAAAGAAGCTAAAAGTAATTAAAAACTATAAAAAGAAATTTATTCGGGCGTAGCCCGGACAAAGACCCTAGTATTATTAAATAAGATACATGGATGCCGTTAAAAAGATGCCCCCGATTATTAGGTAATTTAAATTGTGGTTACATTTTTATTTATTTGTTTTTATTGTTTTGCTAACAAAATGTTGATTTATTACTCAATGTTGAGGTGATCTGGGTAACCAGACCAGAATAGAACAATCAACATACAAGAGCTTAGATAAAAGGATCTAGCCGTCTTAGCTAAAGAATCAGAGAATCCGTTCTGTAACCTAGGAACGCGAAAAATACTCGTAACAGCCACATGACCTGTTATTAATTGCCACATAAGATGACATATCTTTTGGGGTGCCTTGACCTTCCAAGCATGTGCTTGAAGCTTTGTGATGTTAGGTTCACATACAGCAGAGTCCTCTTCCTTCATCAATATATTCCGTCCTACCCAATATCCAGATTTAACTGTATACTGTCCATTCCTTGTATAACTCCAGCAGTACGTATCACGGCGATGCGTGGAGCTAATGGCCAAACTCTTAATGAGTGGTAAATCAGCAGCAGCTACATAGTTCTCAAGGCGGCCCTCGTCCCAAGTCTTTGTTGCTTGATTAATTAAATCGTTCACTCTCATGTTTGGATTCAATACCGGTGCCGTTGGGAATGTTGGTCTCGTTAGGATGGTAGGGATCCAAGGATCCTCCCAGACTTTCACCTCAT